TCTAATTAATTCTTAATCTATTTTATAATCCGTGTACCCAGCTCCTACCACTGGAGACCAGTTTTATAGAAAGAAGAACAGAAGTAATGGATAAAAGAGGGGAATTATAGAAGAATAATTGTAATAAGATCACCATAATGGTGTAGGTACTAAAACAAAAGCAGCCAAGTAAATTTTGGTCATAGGAGGGGAGGATAGAATTAAAATGAAAAATATTGTTTCGCTGCTTGAAATACCACATGTAGTTGATGAAGATATTAGGGAACGAGTTTTCTTACTAAGTAGCTGCAGTAACATTTCTTATGAGGAAATGTTAAGGGATTTAAGCTTTTTCACACCAAGAAGAAAGTGGGAGGGGAGGGAGGACTTCATTAGGGAGCAGGCTGCAGGAACCCTGTTAGGTTCTTTGCTCAACTTGATAGAGGTAAATCGCTTTGAAAGCTAGAGCACGTAATCTAATAATTAGGAAATCAAAAGTTAATGGGAAGTTTGCGCAAAACGTATTCTACGTGAATGAATGAATTTATTCAGCAAGTTGGGGCAGCTTTGGCTCTAGAAAAGGAGTTGACAAGGGTTGGTAGGAAGTCAAACGTAGTAAGCAGGAGCTGGAAGAGTCTTGACTCTCAACCGAGATGGTTTTCCACTTGCAGTTGCAAAAATCTGGTGTACAAGCAAAGGCGGCAAAAATCTGTGAGGGTAGAAGAGAGAAGGTTTAGCAACATCCCGTATCTCTGAAACACCTCACCGCTGAGAAACAAGCACCTCCCAAACCCAGTAAGGCATCCAGGTACTTTCTTCGTACGTCTCAGCTGGTCAAAGTACCTTCTTCACACATCTCAGCTGTTCGTGGCTGGCAGTGCCCCTGCCCGTAGAGGGGAGGGCCTGGTGGGTGAGTGGATGAGGACGGTTCCAGCATCTCTTCCAGACCCTCTAATATCCAGATCATAACTTTAAAATAAAAAGAGCAGTAATACTTTCCAAACATGAAAGACTTTTCTAGCTAGTGAATATTTCTCCTTTTCTTCTTTCCATATTTCATTTCAGGAAAAAAAACTGTGTAATTTTTTCAGGCAGTCCTACCTATGGTAACGTCGCCAGCTCAATAACCGGGGGAGCTGGTGCTCTACCTTTGCTAAAGGAGGTGGGTTCCAGCTTTCCGTCAGTGTTTGCCTTGCCTCCGCTTGCTGTTCTGAGCATTTGGCTTCCCGTGGTGCCGAGGGATGATGGCGATACCTCCGTCAGCTCTGAAACTGAGCCTGCGAGAGAACGCCGGGGTGGCAGGAGTGGGAAAAGGAAACCTGCCTCTTTCGGGGAAGGCAGGGTTGTTTTTTCTGTGTTCGTGAAGTCTTTGCTCCCTTTTCTTTCTTGGTTCTTTTAATAGGCGGAGCAATAAGACCGGTTTAGACCTAGAGACAACTAGGAGAAAAAGAATATTAACACTGACGAGGAGACCCCTCTTCTTCCCCAGTGGTCTTCCCCAGGGAAGCAGTAATAATAGTGACTTGATAGGGACTTGTGTGCTGGATAACTGCTCCTTTTGATTTCTAGATGCTTCATATGAAAGCTCCAGCTAGCTCTTCAGGGAGTGGCACATAGTTTCTTCAGATGTGTACTGAAGGACTTTTAACACGTTGCCCAGCATTTTTAGATGGGTAATTAAAAATGCCGTCTTACAATTTAAATGTCCACCCTAGACACATTGTATGCCTGCTGGTCTTCGGCACTAAAATGAGTTTATTCCCTTTGCTTGCTTTTTTTTGTTGTTAATCTACAGAGAGGCAAGCTTTTCTCTTCCCTTTCTACCTGCTCCTGTCCTGCACGGAGGTGACTTCTGCAGATTTATTCAGCTTTCCGCAAGAGGCTGAGGTTTCTCCAGCTGCTGCTCCTCTTCCGCTGGTTTCAGAGGAGCAAGGTTTGCTGGTAGAGCGGCACCAGCACGCTGTACAGGGGGGCTTTCATGGCATCGTGGGGTTAATCCCAGATCACACTCTCGATGAACGTGGTTGTGCCAGCAGAACTTCCCAATGTTGTGCTATTTCCCCAAATTTTCCAAATTAATACCTCCTCCCATGTCATGTTTTCCCTCTTTAAATTCTATTTTTCCTCATTCTCTGATGAATGCCTTTGTACTTCTACTCGAAGGCCTTGATTGGGACTGACTGCATTTCTGCAAATACGTCTAAATTTTGCGTGTGTATGGCATCGCTGTGGTTAGAGAACGTGGCGGTCTAGGGCTCCAGACGGGGGTACAGCACGAGAGCAGAGCGACACAGCTTCCGTTACATTCACGTCTTGCACCTTCTCATGCACTGAAGTTAAGAGGAAGATCCACGTGAAGCTAGGTTTCTTTTGTGTTCGTACTCATTCGAACGATTTCTCTTGAATTCTGACCGTTTGCTACCGGTTTTTTGAATGGTGAAGGGGGGCAGTGATGTGTGCGTGTAGGCGGATGGATAGCCTCCATCTCTGAGCAGCTCGTCACAGCTTCTCTCTCTGCAGTAGCAGCATCCAGTTATTACGAACCTAATCGTTTTGACTTCTGGTCGAGAAAAAACAGAAAAAGGACCAAACCTCCCCCTCCCCGCAAAGGGTGATTCTACTGAGTGTCTGCGTGGCAGCACAATACAAGAAGGTATTGATGCTGTTGCAGCTAAAGAAAAATCCCACCGACAAGGTTAATGGGAGGTGGGTACAGTACTTCTCTCTGTCTCCTTAGCAGCTAGAAACGAACAAAAAGGTGAACTTTCTGATAATCCCGCGGCATTAAAGGTTGCTGCAATACTGTCCTCCTGCTAAATCGAGGTAGGGCCTGGAAACCCCCATGTATTCCGCACACGCAGCGGTGTTGGACACAGACGGGGAACCTTTAGTATTTGCTAAGCAGAGCTTACCGACTTCCTTGGTTGTACAAGTGTAATGATGTAAAAATGTTCCAAAACTTGGACTTGAAGCCAATTTAGCTGTCCAACCGGCTCCGCTAAATGAAATAGTAATGGCAAAGGCATCAAGATGCGAGGTGTAAAAGCAGTGGAAAGAAGGATCGCTGATCCCATGGTTGATGCTGAGCCTGGTGTAGCTGGCAAGGCGTGCTTTTCACGAAATTGCTGAAGGGTGGGAGGAAGGCTTGGGGGAGGTGGTTTTCTCCCCCGTTTGCCTGCACCCAGATTATTTTCTGCTTCTTTCTTGCCACAAAAGGAGTCATTTGTTTAATTTTACAAAATGTTACTGAAGCTGTTGGAACTGAAACTGCAGCCCACGTCTTCTTGATAAATGACTGTGTGTATTCCTGGAAGGAAGTTAAAATGGGGCTGTGTTATATTTGGTACCTCCCGAAGCACTGAGGCTACTTTGAGTACAGAATGTGCTCAAAGAGAGACTAATTTGCCACTGCAGAGCTCGATGTGATGAGATTTGTCAAGTCGTCGTTTCTGCTGGAATTCGCTTACGCTTTCCTCTCTCTCCTAAAGATGTTTGCTTATATATTTTAGAGTTATGTCTTTGAACTGGGGGACCATAAAGGCAAGTCAAAAAGCCTAAACCCAGGATTAAATTCCAGGCAACGATTACGCCTATTAGAAGGTGGCAATACAGAAGCCAAGCACCCGTGCAGCAGGTGGAAATATTACTGAGCCGTTTCCCTGAGTGCGCTCACGCTCTTGGTAGCCACAGTGTTGGCATTATCCGGACGTTTAAGCACCAGCAGGGTGGGTTTCGACTTCTCTCCAGGGGTGCCGCCTCCGATGGTATGGTGGTGGTTTCCTGAAGTAGGCGATTCCGGGAACTTCAGGAAAAATGAAGATTTATTTATTTATTTATTCATTTTCTTTTTTTTTTCTCCCCGTTCATTTCCGATTTCACGCTGTTTCATTTGCTGGGCTTGAAGGGCCTCTTGGTGTCATGCTGCAGGGAAAGGTGGGATGGATCGGCACTCCCAAAGAAACTCTCAGTTGTTTTACTGGATTCAACGTTGTCTGCGTCCTGTTTTCTCCCCGAGAGTGTTTCTTGAGCGAATGTAAACAAATACTGGGTCAGTGGTTGGAAGCAATGAAAAAATACTTAATGTGAACCTTTTGGTACTGGGTTGATTAAAATAAACAACTGTTATAAGGAGCACTGGTCCTGGTTTGTGAACAGGGGGTTTTCTGTTCCTCTGTATAATGCATAAAGCATGTGGGGCTGCTTGAGAGCCTTTTCTGTGTGCTGTGCTTTATTTTGAGGTATTTCATTTTCAGTTCTCTGAGCTTTTGTGTCAGCTGGGAAGGGAGGGTGTAGGAGTAACGCGTAAAACTTTGGCCTCTTTAGTCCCAAATCCTGGCAAATAGCTGGTTAACAGGTATTTAAATGAAAGCTTGAACTTTCTTTTCTCCCTTTTGAAAGCTGAGAAGACCCTAGTTCTGATTTTATCCGCTCCTGATGCTGTTTGTTTCTAGTTTCTATGCAGTTCTTCAGCAGAGCGTAGACAAAGCATAGTTGATATAGACTTTGTGCAAGACCCACCACGTGAGTATTCCACCCGAAGTCATTGAGCTGTAGCGTATAGCTGCGGAAAGATTTCGTGTCTTGGTTTGAAGGTGCAAATGTTGAATTTCTGCTGTCTTTCTCCCTGTACCTATGGTGACGGAAAAATGTATCCTTGGTATTTTTAGGGGACGGCAAATTGGGATATTTATTTGTAAGAGAGGTGTGCTAAGTACGCGTATCTCTTTGTTTAACGACAGCGGGAAGGAAACGTGAGTGGCAGACCATTCACATCACGCTGCCTTTTTTGCGACTGCTGGTCTTGTAGCCAGCTCCCGTATCCCTTCCCTCTCCTCCTCTTATCCTGCATCTCCGTTGCTCCTCCTTTTTTGACTGCATTTCTTACATGTACCCGTTCCTCCTTTTGCTCCGATGGAGATAAAGACCACTCTCTGCTAGAAAGAGTCATGTTTTCTGTCCGACGGGTTTGCCCGCAGAGCCTCACGGGTCTCTCTCTCTCTCTCTGTTGGTTGCTGCTGCAGAGCTGTGGAATGCTGTGAAGACTCACTGCCCTGCAGCCGTAGGCAGACTCCTCTCCGGATTATCTCCATCCGAAGGAAGCTCGTATCCAAGAGGTATCAATTCATGTTTTACCTGTGCCCTCGAACTGTAACGCTTGAGTTTAGATACTCCTCCAAACACCTTTTTCCCTACTCCCTCCACAGACAGAAAAGCTTTGGATGCCACGGAGATTGCAAGTATTGATTAAAAAGTGTTGGTGTTTGGTATGGGTTGGACTCTTGTTTATATTAAATGAACTTTGGTACAGAATTGCATTCCGTTTTAAACTAAGCAAGTAATTTCTGGGTCAAGAAATTTGAAGTATTTAAAAGACGTGGAAGTATTTAAAAGACGTGTAGATGAGGCGCTGAGGGACATGGTTTAGTGGGCCTGGGGGTGTTGGGTCGATGGTTGGACTCGATGGTCTTAGAGGTCTTTTCCAACCTTAATGATTCTGTTCTGTTCTATTCTGTTCTAAGAAATGCATAAGCTGAAGCTCCAGCAACACTAAGTCTAGCGTATTTTATTGTGTTGATTTATAACGTTAATAAACCTAAGATAATCAGCAGACTGGCGTAGAAAAGACAGTAGGTATGTGCCGCTCCTGTAAAGAATTGTGAGAGTTAGGGTTGTTTTAGTATTTATTAGTCTTAATATCTTCTTAGTAAATAATTTATTTTTGTTTTATATTAAAAAGAAGGCAGAAAGTACTTCTTGTGTTCGCTAGCTGGGTCAAAACCGGTGGGTTGGCAAAGGCACGATTCCTGGTATAAATTTCTGTCATTTGCCTGTAGACAGGCAAATTATTTTCTAATAGTTTATGTTGCAGCCTTTCATAAAAGAAAGCTAGAAACATTTTTTAAAAATATAAACTTTGCAGTGTAATGTGGCCTGTAAATTGGTTGGGGCAGGTTCTGTCTTAACTATTTATTTTTGTATATGGTGCCTAGCGTTATGAAACCTGAACAGGTCAAGCCCTCTAGGCATTTATATATAAGATATAAGAATTTTCTTATATATATAAGAAAACCAAATATGTTATAACAGTGGTATAACATGATATACAGCTAGCTGTTAAATATGAACATATCACTTCAGGAATTCCCTGTGCTGCACACGGTTACGGGCTGGAAAGTATGCCGGGCAAATGCCACTGTATGCCTGCCCTGTGCTTAAATTTTCCCCTAGGTAGTCAGTCACGCTTGGTTGTTGCTGCAGAGAAGACACTGGGATAGCTGGAGCGTCAGTCTGACCCAATCCAGCTGTTCTTGTGCAGGAGTATAGAAAAAAAAGGGTTGACCCCCCTCCTTTTTATATATTTTGCTGCTTGCTTAGTAACATGAACTTTAAATGTCAGCTGCCAGGATACCCACTGAGTGTTCTGCTCCCACTCAAGTCAGATTTGCTGAAAACCAGATACAGACAGACAACAAAGTGCTGATGGGTGCTCTCTGCTCTTGGATCCACTGCGCTGCACCGGGATCGAACATTTAGGCATGCTGTCACCCTTATCCTCCCAATATTTTAGCACGCAGAAGCGCTCCAGCCCTGCTTTGGGAAAAACCTGCCCTGATTAGCTGCCTGCTCTTTGGGTACGGACAGAACCAGACTCTTGTTTCTTCCTCATCCCACCCTCAGCAACTCAATCTGTCTGGGGTGGGATGGGACAGAACGTGCCGAGCATTTCAGAAAAGCTTTGTTTTGTCCTTGCTTGTGCCAATCTTGAAGGAACATCGATAGGCCCCTTTCCATCTCCCTCTTCCCCTTTTTGTTGAATATCATGCTGGAAAAAAGGATAAAGGAAAAAAAGAAGGGGACTTTGATGCTGCTCCTGTCCCCTTTTTCTGCACGCTGCCCTGCATATCTCCAAGTTGAAGCAACAGTAGGAGACACAGTTGGGGCTATGCTGCTTTTTCTGGGCCTGAGAAACAGAGGTCCAGGGCTGCAGAAGGAAGAGGGGCAAAGCCAAGGGTGCGCGTTTGATGGGTTGTGAGGTAGGGAGAAGGCAGAGGTGGGGGCTGAGTTGCTCAGACTGCAGAAGTGGGACTGGCATTGATGGCATCTGGAAGACAAGATGTTTTTTCAAAGGAGTATGTGTTGTTAAGTGTTGGCTTTGCGTGAGAAAGAGAGCTGCTGGTCCGTAGGGGCTCCTGGTCCAATTCGGCTCCAGATTAAGAAACTTAAGTTTAAGCTTTGTGTGTGCTAGGTGTCTGAGCTCCCAGCCTGGTCCCTGGAGATCTCGAGGGTGGAATTGATGGAGCCTGGGGAGATTTGGCTGACTAGCTGCCGGTTGTCCTCTTCAAGCTGATCGGAGTTGCTTTCCAGGCTGTGACTGCCCTGCTTGGGATGTCCACCAGCCACTTCAGACATTCACTTTTGTGTGCCTTTATCTTGGATTGAACCTCCCCCTTTTAGACTCGTGATGGTAAACAGTGTTCAGAAATCGAAAGGCGGAAGAAATGGAGTTAAACTCTTGAATATGTGTGTGCCCGACCTCTTAAATTAGTTTACTTAGGTTAGGTTATTTCCTGCTCGGGAAGTACCTCACTGCCCCAAATCCTAAGTGGAATTCCAGCAATTAAATAGTTAATCACTGTGTGTGTGTGTGTGTGTGCGTAAAAACCATGCATATCTAAAAATACCTCTCTTATCTGTGTAATGGTTTGGTTTGATGTAAATATTTTTAAATGTGCTTTTACATTAGGTTGGTTTTTATACAGTGTGTGTGAATGGAATTTGGCGTGTGGTTAACTGGGCCTGGACTTTATGTATTTGTTCCATTCACCTCAACGTTTCTGAACTCATATGGAAAATTTCTGATCTTTAGTCTCCTGAGGATTTATGCCAGTTTGGTGGGGTCCGTTTGGTGCTGTTCATTGGGCTGGGAATGCAACAAATCCAGAGATGAAGTGAAGCATCTTGCCAGCAGGTGATGGATACTTCTCTGCTGTTGGGACATGACTACCTCACTTAGTGATTTTCTTTTCTGCAGCATGAACAAATCCTTTGTTCGCAGATCTTAAGTTTTCTTGAATTGCCAGCTCTGTTTTGGAGAATAAATTTCCTTTCGGAGAACATCTGATATGGAAGGTGATTTGTAGCCAACCAAGTTATGTATTGCATCCAGCTCTGGGGTCCTCAGTGCAGGAAAGACACGGACCTGTTGGAGCGGGTCCAGAGGAGGGCCACAAAAATGATCAGGGGGCTGGAACACCTCTGCTATGAGGAAAGGCTGAGAGAGTTGGGGTTGTTCAGCCTGGAGAAGAGAAGGCTTTGGGGAGATCTTACTGCGGCTTTTCAATATGTGAAGGGGGCTTCTAAGAAAGACAGAGGGAGACTTTTCACCAGGGTCTGTAGTGACAGGACAAGGGGCAACAGTTTCAAACCGAAGGATGGTAGGTTTAGATTGGACGTCAGGAAGAAGTGTTTTATGCTGAGGGTGGTGAGACACTGGCGCAGGTTGCCCAGAGAAGCTGTGGATGCCCCATGATTGGAAGTGTTCAAGGTGAGGTTGGACGGGGCTGTGAGCAACCTGATCTAGTTGAAGATGTCCCTGCCCATGGCAGGGGGGGCGGACTAGATGATCTTCGAAGGTCCCTTTCAACCCAAACCATTCTGTGATCCTATGTAGGTCCCAGGATCCTTATAAGACATCATAGGATTATTTGACGAGTGCAGGGAGATCCTTTTCCCTTGTTTCTGGTGGAGTCTAATGATGGTGATACCAAGGACAGTGGTTCATGTTCCCTCCTTGTTCCCTTCTTTCCTTTGGGTCATGTTTAGAGGAGGAAATACATCATATTAGAACATTGCTGATGTTTTAAAATATAGCCTTCCATCCAATCTGAACATGTTGTGGGTTTTTGGTGTGTGTGTTTGCTTGTGCTCCGTGACACAGCTGTGTCTGTGAACACGCCTCTGAGTTAGGAGCACGCTGCTCCTCTGCACCACTTGGCAAGTGTGGGCAGAAGTGTGGCTGTAGCTACACTGTAGTAGCGTATAAGCAGATGGAGCATAAATTGGGGTTCAAGAATATTGCTTATTGCTTCAGAGCTCTTTATTGGGGAGGAGATACTTGAGGCTTACATCCTAAGAGCTGAAGCTAATAGCTGGTGAGAGAACGGCTGAGGCTCTTAGCTTGAGGTTGCTGGTTTTCTGATTCAGATGGTGGCCTTGAGGGAGGACAAAGCTTGCTGTTGTCTCTGGGGTGTAATGGGTTTGATTGTGAGGGCAGGTCAGAGGACCGGTGTTTTCCACCGTAACCACATCACTGAATCTGCGCTGAGCGTGTGACATGCTTGGGCATTTCCTGAGGCTCCTACAGCGAGCGGGAACGGCTGCCTCGAGAGCAGAACCCTCCACTGTGTTTCTTCTGCTCTTGTTGCTCTTGGTTTTACCCAGCAACCTCTTGCCACCTATTGGAAGAAGCAGGAAAGTGGACATTCTTGGTCCATGGTGGGGAATGTAGGTACTCTTCTTTCCCTTAAGCTTTATCTCCTTCATCTTTACACACAGCCTGAGAGTCATGGAGCAGCAAGGCTCTCTTAGACGTACCTCAGCTGAGACTGGTCCAAGTCCCACAAGGTGTCAGATTTTGGTTGGATTCCCTTCCATCCCTCTCTCCCATGCCAGTCACAAATATTACAGCTTTGGGAAGGCTTTGGGATCTGTAATTACTTTGCCCATCCTTGCTTAATGGGAATTTTCACTTCCTGAGAAGTTTTTTATTCCTTTGTGAACACTACTGCAATGCTGGATGTGTCAGTGAAAGGAAACGCCCTCCGTGATGTACCTAAATACGCGGTAACATATCACATAGGGAACCTTCTTCCCTGCATAAGTGATGAATTTACAAAGATTAATGACCCAGCGTTTCACCCTAAGTAGCACTCGTGTAAATGCTTCTCTTAGTCAGGTCTACTCCCTTAAAAAAAAACCCTTTTAATGTTTTTGCCTCGGTATATCACGGCTGTCAGAGTCACCAGCTAATCACACAGGCATGAACTGTGACTGCGGGTCCCCAAGCTGGGCTGTCTCACTTCCCGTACCCACTTCAGCCCTCCAGGTGAAACCT